GAAAACACAACAAAGCAGTTCAAAATCACAAGGCTAAAGCCTTTAGGTTGAGTGGCAGGAGTGGATTGGAGTTGAATCGTAAACCGACGAATCGACAACCGACCTGTTGTCAGTGATAACAGAAGATGGTCCTTGTAGGATCAAGCTGAATCTAGCCCAAATCTTGAATCAATCGATTAAGAAGACCTGTAACACAAGACAGGTCAATCCCCAAGCTAAATCTATAAGTCCATAGAGAATAATCCCCATATCACGATCTCACTAAAATCATCCTAATGAACTAATCCTAAGTCTACCCCTAAGTCAGTGCCTAATGAAAAAGTAGATCTTTGGCAGATCTCCTCTATGCAGAGGGGATTGCCAGAATTGTCACCTGTCAAGATATAATCTAACTCCTCTAAACTAAAAAAATTTCGATAGCGCTTCCCGTAGGAAAAGTGTCTTCTCAGAATTTATAATAACTCAAATATGAAAACAAAATGATCTCTAACTCTGGAAAGTCAAAATTTTGTCTAACTCCCTGAATTAGTAAAAATTTTGGCAGCACTTCCTTTAGAAAGGTAGACTTCCCACATTTATACTAAGTCGAGATGGAAACTCAAACAAAAAACATGAGTTCAACTAAGACAAAATTCAACTGACTCGTTAGCTTTGTAGAAATTTTGGCAGCGCTTCCCGTAGATAAAGTAGCTTACCAAAATTTATACAGAGCCAAGTTCAGAATCTAAAATGACTTTGACTTCTCAAGGTCCAATTTTATCTAACTCCCTGAATTAGCAAAAATTCGGGCAGCACTCCCTTTATAAAAGGAGACTCTCCAGATTTTTACTAAGTCAAAAACGTCAGACAGACTGAACTTTGAGAAGACAAAATCTGACTAACTCCTTGGTTTTGTAGAACTTTGAGAAGATAAAATCGGGCGGGGCTACCCTATCTAGCATCCCCACCCGCCCGATTCTATAAAGAATCGAGCAAGTTAGCCCTTTTTCCCTCGCTGCCATAGTTGTTTCTTTCCTCGTCGTTGCACATGCATCTAGCGCCAATACCCGTTCGGGTTCACTCACGGCTCCCTCCCTGCATTGGTCACGCTTGTTGCTCCGCTGGTACACACCTCCAACGATGCAGCGGTCTAGCCCTACTATCCAACGCCTCGGGACCGCCAAAGGAGCCAACTATCTGACAGTTAAGTTAGTCTTTCGCCTCTATACACAGAGTCAGTCGAACCATTGGCGCGCTGGGTCTCTTTTGGCTGCCTTGACTGCCCTGCTTCAGCGCTCGTCGCAGCTCTGCCTTGCTTCGCCCACTGCTGCTAGCGCAGCCTAACCGGACCCACCGCCCATTGCTTAGAGGTATGTCGTTGGTCCCTCCCCTCTAGCGGCACTAAGCCAAAATCGTCAGAGCTCATAGGGGAAGGGGACCGGGAGGCACAGTGACTGGCCCAGTCGAAAGAGCCTAGTCCTGATACGTACCGGCTAACACCTGGTCGGTACCTCCTGCTTGTCGTAGCAGGTATCGCACTTGTTGGTGGGTGTCGTTCCCGCATGTTCCCTTGTTGGCGGCTTGAACCCAGATGTAGCTGCTACAGGCATCCCCGAAATACCACGGTGGGGTAACTTCGGCGCAGTCACGAAAACAGTTTGTAGTCGCACCGCAGGCCATCCTGCGAATACAACACACCCCCACGCGACCTCACCGCACCCGAAGCGTAGGTCATATACAGTCAACATTACCGGCCTTTTTGCCTCAAGTGCAATTACAAACTCGAACCCTGACCGTGCCAGGTTCTCAGCAACGGCGTGGCAGAGAACCTTCCCCAGTATCACAAACACGCGGACTCATCGAACGAGGCGCGCACCCAAGGTCCCCGCCCACCGTGACGGCCATTGAATTCGGCGTCGCGTCCGGGTCAAGGAACGCCGGGTCATAAAAAAAATAATAGAAATATGACGCTAAAATGATTTACTTAGAAAATGCCACCACCGATCTGACGTCGCCGACGGCAAAACCAATGGGGATAGCCTTGTCGGGCCCTCAACCCCTCGGTCCACTCAGGCTACTCTAATATTCCCACGCCATCGCCGCTCAATCTCGATCCTTGAATCTCTTTGATGAAAGTCTGATGCTGTAACCAATAGTGGTAGGCCCAATGATGGTTCTAGCATTGACGGATACCTAAATAAGCGAATACTGCGCGACGTGCAGATTTACCGAAACGTCTTCAAAAATCGCATTGTCGTCGACACTGTCCTTCGCACGTACGCACATGTCACAGGCACGCGCACCAATAAAAAAGACGGAATCCTTTTAATCCCAACTTAATTAGAAAATGAAAATTTGGTTGGTGATTACGCCGACTCTTCAATCATCAACATATTAAAAAGATCACGCGCGCCTCAAATCTGCGCGCCCACACACGCTCTATTTTAGTCAACCAACCGGTCAACCTAAACTACAGAATCCGTCGCGCCTCGCGCGGTATACTTAGACTTTAAACCAAACTTATTTTCTGTTACTTACAAAAACCACGACGAATACCCTTCTAAGGGTATTTGCACCGACAACGTGGCTTATCATTACATATTGTGGAATATTGTACTCTATCATTATAGAGTAGAGTTGAGTTTCTTATAGTAGAATATTGTAAAGTAGAGAAGAGTGTAGGGTAGAGTAGTGCAAAGTAAAGTAACGCAAAGTAGAGTAGTGCAAAGCAGAGTAGTGCAAAGTAGAGTAGCATGCAGTAGGGTATCGTAGAGTGCATTCTCGTATAGCAGAGTATCGTAGTGTACAATAGAGAAGGTTATCATAGTATAGAATAGAAAAGAAAATCGTACTGTAGAATAGAGAATCGTAGAGTGGAGTATCGTATAGTATCGTAGAGTAGAGCAGAATATGTGGAGTAGAGTATCGTAGAATAGAGTAGAGTACAGTACAGTATCGTAGAGCAGAGTTGAGTATCATAGAGTATAGAAGAGTATCGTAGAGTAAAGTACAGCATCGTATAGTAGACTAGAGCACAACGGCGTAGAGTAGTGTTGTCGAGCGCATCGGTCCTGCAAGGGACCCTCCCGGCCCCATCACGAAGGATTTATCCAAGAGTTCATCATGGTGGAGCTTTCACCGCTCCGGCCGAGTGCACCATACCTATGCCCAAGGGGTTGTCAACTTGTCACCACTCTCGGAGAGGCGTATCCCCACCGAGCTACCGAACCATGTGCGAAAGCTGCTCGGTTGCAATCGCCGAGGTAGCTCAGCCGAGGGTGTTTCTCGTTCGTTGTAGCATAGGGGGTATGCGTGGTTGATCACCTTAATCGGACCCGTACATGAGCCGACGCTCGGGGGGCAGATGTCCCAAGCGCGACTCGGCGCTAGTTGACTAGGACGGTCCATCTCACCACGTGATTCACCACTCCAAGACAAAACCAGCAATCTCGTACACAAATCGTGCCTAGTTTTTTTTCGTATCCAACCCATAACGTTTCTGACGCAAAAAACAACTGAACGTCATATGCGAGGCTCAAAATAAATATCGCAAGGACGCAGGTTTCGTCATATCGACTAATCATGCATGAATACACAAGCAATCCGAGTGATGGCGTACTATGTAGTACCCAAAATCATGTGGTCATCAATGGTCTTGAGGGTCACTTTCGACACTCAAGTGCCGGTTTCGACACTCAAGTGCCGGTTGACATGCGCCTTGAGGGGCTAATCTCTCGACGCTAAACAATAGTCAAGGAAGTTGCAAGTTCTGCCCTCTTCTGCACCCTACGCGGATAAGCGGTAGGCGGGCCTCGGCCCTTTGTAGCGCCTGATCACCCCTAACACTAAAAGTGGGGTTCCATCGGTGGAGACCTGGAAACAGGTCAAGGAGTTTGACTTTGACATCCGCTACGGACCTTAACATCCAACTATAAATCTTAATAAGCAAAATCAATCAGTAAATAAACAAGAGCCCCCAATACCCACATATCGATCAAAACTCAAGATAAAATAGAAAGGGGGAAAGATAAGTCTATCAGGTATGTAGATCGCGCGACATATAGTTGTCATTTTCACTGCCTCTAAGGTAAGGCTCGTACACCAAGCTTCAAAATACTAACCTGCATAAAACATATGCACACATGAAAGTCACATGTCATACACCAATGTGGTCAACTTTACAGTTBTTTGTAGCTCACACCACACCTTACACACTCAAGCCCCAACCAAAGTCCAACTTTTCATAAAAATTCATCAGTTCTTTATAATGATCATTAAAAGAAGTTTGGTTAAAACTCTCAAAAAAACATATAAAATCTCAGGGGTTGGTGAGGGAAAGGGAAGCCGGCAGCCATAGCTGACCGAAGGGTTGACCGGGAGAGTTGACCGAAGGTTTTGACCGGTGTTGACCGGAGTTGACCGGGGGTTGACCGCAGCGTTGACCGAGCGTTGACCAAGGCGTTGACCAAGACTTTGACCAAGCTGGAGCCGGTAAAATCTTGCCAAGCCTTCAGCCTATCCCTCGCCCTATGGATGTGCACACACCCTGTGGTACTTGTTGAGTCCAGTCTGTTTGTCTCTTCTTTCTGCATCGAGTCTCTTCTGTCCTAGGTGATAGTACTCTGTGGATGAAGGATATGGCCTTGTTGACCAAACCCACACGGGCTGAGTAGGGCTAAAAGTTCTCTGATGACTTGACTGTCCCGGAGGACACGAACCCTCCCAAGGACCGGTACTGACCGGCATGCTGCTCGGTGTGGCACGGTAGGCCCAAAATCCGAGTTGTGGGCTGCACAACAGGCCGTCTAAGTGTTGAGAGACCTGCTGATCGCGTCGTCCTGTCTGCGACGTTAAATAATTCCTGAGGAGTTACGGGGGATCTCCTTAAATGCCTCCTTATCATCAACAGGTCTAGTAGTGATAGCCATAGTTAGGTCCCGGTTAGAGACTCTAGTTGGCAGGATCTTTGTCCGGATTCTGTGAGCCTTAGATTGAGTTAGTAGGTCTGTTAGTCAGGGGTTAGAGTCTACGTGGTGAGGTTTGGAACCGTCCAACGGGTTGTGCACTTATCACCATGGTGGACCTTCGTAGTGGGAAGAATACTAGCCCCTACACCCCTGAGCAGCAAGAACAGATGGCCGCCTTAGTGAGAGAGAACAAGAAGAGGAAGGAGCTCCTGAAACAGACGAAGTTAAAGACGATCGCAGAGGAGCAGGCGGCAAAGATGAAGAAACTGGAGGAGGAGATGAAGAAAGTTCAGCAGGAGGAGGAAGAGAGGAGAAAGGCTGCCGAAGAAGAAGCAGCAGCAGAAGAAGCAAAAGAGAGAATGCATATTGAGAGTAGAAAGGGGAGTAGTGGCACGAAGAAGGACGAAGACACAGAGATGGAGAAAAAGATTAGCGGGTGGATAACTAATTTATCACTGGGGGAGGATAAGGAGGCGAAGTTCTATGTGCCCCAGGACGAAAGGGATGCGTTAGCCCAGGAGCTAGCAGCAATGGATGACCCCCTGGAAAGACAAGAAAGAGAGGAGGAGAAATAGCTGGAGTGGCAGTTGAGAATGAAGAGGGAGAAGAAAAGGAGGGATGAGGTTAACAGGTTGACTGCAGAGGTGGTGAAGATGAAAGATTGTAGGCAGGAGGTGCAGGCTCAGGCAGACGACAAGGCCAAATGGGATAAGGTGTTGGGGTATCTGGAAGTGCTGAGCGCAGCGTGGATGGAGGAGTGCCAGGCCAACAGGAGCCAAGAGGTAGCGCTGAGTGCCATGCGGTCCGGATTTAGAGAATTCGGCGCGAAATGGTTACCCACGTTGGAGGGGAAGTCAAGCGGTTAAGAGACAACGTGGGGAAGTTCTGTGAGGGTGCCATTGAGGGCGCCAAAGTAGCAGCCGTTGCTGAGTGCGAGGCCAGACCTCGCAAGGAACCAGTCAAACTCAAGTTTCCCGATCCTTATGGCGGGAAATCTGAGGAGAACTTCGATAACTGGGAGGCTAGTGTAAACAGCTACGATTACTTAGCAAATCGTACAGGATGATCAGGTCCTGGTAGCCGTCCAGGCCCTCAAGGACGAAGCAGCTAGTTTTGCTAGGTCCCTCACGCGCGCGGCTGGTTGTGAAAACAACATGGTCGCCTATTCCAAGGTTACCCCCCTCCCTCAATTCTTCAAGCTCCTTAGGGAGCGATTCGCTGATCTTCGCAGGGGCGTCATAGCCTCTGACAAGCTCCAAACGATCCACTCACGACAGTGGAGGAGTGCCAAGGCACTCAAGGGCGTTATGGACGACTTGGTAGCCGTCCCAGATCATGGGGTCACTGAGCCCCAATTGGTCCAATTATTTTATCGTGCCATGCCATCCCCTGCGTGGGCACTTTTTTGATAAGTCCCAACAGCCCACCATGACATACGATGCGCTCAGTAGAGAGGTGGTGCTGTTTGAGGCCAAGTCCATGCTAGTTTCCACTTTCTGGCATAAGGACTTAGAAAAGGGAAAATGGTGGAAAGGCCGTACCATCTCAGACCAAGTCAGGGCCAAGGATCACATGATCCTTACCTTAGAGTAGGGTGGTACAGATGAGGTCCCATATAGTCAGATCGAGTGGGACCTTGAGGAGGAGGACAGTAGCGTGGGGCAGGGGAGGTCCTATGCTGCTGTCGCGGCTGGAGGGAGGCCGCAAAGTAGAGGAGGCCAGGGCCAAAGGGGCCAGGCCATGGGAGGCCGAGGACCGGGCGCACAGGGGGTTGGCGGACAAGGGAACCGCCAAGTAGGAGGTAGGGGTCAAGATCCCCCGCCAAATCGCTAGGGTTCTTGTCGGTCCCCACAGCGAGGAGGTAGAAGGCCACCTCAGGGAGGATGGCACCCAGGCTTGCCACAGGGCAGGCCCTGGGAAGATTTGGGCTTGGACAGGCAATTATGGCAAGAACGCGTGAACAAGGGTCAGTGCGTATTTTGTGGTGACCCGGCCCACGTAATTAAATTTTGTCCTAGGTATAGATAGGCCCGATGGGCTGCCCAATAGTCTAAAGGCAGCCGCCAGTAGGGGTTGCAACTGCCCCTACTTCAAGGCCATGTGGAGAAGTGAGCGCGCGCGAACAGGACACTCCCAACCCACATGAGCCTATGGCAGAGGTTGCAGGCCCGTGCCTAGCTAGTTGTCCAGAGACTGCTTGTGTTAGCGTCTCTCTAGGCACGTCCCTCACAGGCGTGGCAGAAGAACTGAAGGAGAGGATGCCTGCCTGGGCCAAAATGAAGAAGGATAGTAAGGGACAACTGATCTTGGGAGATGTAGAAGTGTTTAGACGCAGAGTAGGGGCCCTTATAGATTCAGGGGCCACCCGCAGTTATATATGTCGTAGGGCGCTGAAGAAGCTGAGGCTAGGATTGGAAGTCCAAAAGTTAGCAGACCCTATAGTCAGTGTCCTCGCAGACAACCGCACGATGCGAGTTGAGGACTACATAGAGGGAGTCCAGGCGTATTTCCGCCTAGTGAAGGATGGGAAGGTGGAGAAAGTTCTCCATTCCCTGACTCTCCTCGTATAGGATGACCTTCCTTTCGATATAGTATTGGGAATGGATTGGGGAGAGGCAGCAGGGGCCACACTCCACTTGAGAGAGCATGAGTGTAGGCTCCCTAGTCCGTCAGGCGAGGTTAAGACTGCCCGCCTGTTTCATGTGTCAGGTGTAGACAACACCTTGGCAAATTGCTGTCTCAGTGCTCCCACGTTCGCGCGGTTAGTGAAGGAGCGATTAGAGGAACAGGTCTTTGTAGTTTATGTTAAACCTGTCACTGAGGCTAAGGAAGAGGTGACTTCCACAGATCCAACGATTGCCAAGCTACTGGAAGAGTTCAAAGATTTGACTGAGTCGCCGACAAGAGTAGTGTCGCGACCCATCCAACACAGGATAGAGATAGAGCCGGGCAGTAGAACTCCTAGGGGAGCAGTCTACAGGATGTCCCCTAGGGAGTTAGAGGAGTTACGCAAGCAGTTAGACGAACTCCTTGAGAAAGGTTGGATCAGGCCCAGTTCGTCTCCTTTTGGAGCACCTGTTCTGTTTGTCCCCAAGAAGGAAGGACAACTTCGTATGTGTATAGACTACAGGGGTTTGAATGCGATTACTGTAAAGAATGTTGAGCCACTGCCCAGGATAGACAATCTCTTAGATCGGGTGCAGGGTTGCAAGTATTTCTCTAAAATAGACTTGAAGTCCGGATACCATCAGATAGAGGTCCATCCTGATGACCAGTACAAGACTACATTCCGGACTAGATATGGGCACTATGAGTTTATAGTGATGCCCTTTGGACTGACTAACGTGCCAGCGACGTTTTAGCGATGTATGAACAATCTGTTTAGACCGTGGTTAGACAAGTTTGTAGTAGTTCATTTAGATGATATCTTAGTTATCAGTAAGACCCTCCAGGAGCATCAGGGTCATCTAAGGCAGGTCTTGGAGAAGCTAAGAGAGACTAGCTTCAAGATCAACCCGAAGAAGTGTGAGTGGGCCAAGACACAAGTCTTGTACTTGAACCACGTATTAGACGGGGATGGCATTAAGCCAGAGGACAGCAAGATAGCGGCAATTCGAGACTGGCCGACGCCCCGCACGTTGACTGAGTTGCGGTCGTTTTTAGGCCTAGCCAACTACTATAGGAAGTTCGTGAGGAACTTCTCTACCATCACCGCTCCCTTGCGCAGGTTGCTAAAGAAAGAGGCAATCTGGCAATGGGATAAAGACTGTACGTCTGCGCTAAAGAGATTAAAGCGCGCGTTAATAGAGTATCCTGTCCTCAAAGTAGCTGATCCGTCCTTGACATTTTCGTCACCACGGACGCGAGTCAATATGGTATAGGCGCCGTGTTGCAGCAAGACGACGGCAATGGCTATAGACCCGTAGAGTTCATGTCAGCGAGGATGCCCTCAGAGAAGGTAGCCACCTCGACGTATGAGAGAGAACTCTACGCTCTCAGGCAGGCTTTAGAGCACTGGAAGCATTATCTGCTTGGGAGGCACTTCAAAGTATACTCTGACCATGAGACACTTAGATGGTTAAAGACCCAGGCGAAGATGACACCTAAGCTAACTAGGTAAGCCGCTGAGATAGACTAGTACGACTTTGAGCTCAAGCCAGTGAAGGGCAAGTACAACGTAGTTGCGGACGCTCTGAGTAGGAGATCTGACTACTTTGGAGCCATAGTACACTATCTGGATATAGGGAGAGACCTGCAGGAGAAAGTGGAACAAGCGTATGCGCAAGACCCTATCTATAGCGACCTCCTAAGGAGAGTTAGAGAGGCCCCAGAGACCGAGCCACACTACCGCACTACAGATGGATTGTTGTTTGAGAAGACGGATGTATTCGACCGCCTATGCGTTCACAACAGTGAGGAAGTCCGCAGTCTGATCCTAGGGGAATGCCATGACACAGAGGGACACTTTGGTTGGCAAAAGACATTAGCCAATCTGATGCGTGCGTACACCTGGTCAGGGATGAAGAATGACTGCATAGAGTATGTTCGCAGTTGTAAAGTATGCCAGAGAAATAAGACTACTACGCGTGCACCTCTAGGTCTTCTCAGACCTCTGCCTATTCCTGATCAGCCTGGAGACTCAGTGTTCATAGACTTCATGGATACTCAAGTCAAGAGTAGGCATGGCAAGAGCCAAGTCATGGTCATAGTTGACCGATTTAGTAAGTATGCCGTTTTTGTTCCTTTGCCTGCAGAGGGACGCACAAAATTAGTTATTCAAAAGTTTCTTGATCATTGGGTTAGTGAGAACGGAGTCCCATTATCCATAGTTAGCGATAGAGATAGTCATTTCACCAGCCAGAACTGGCAAGAACTTGTGAGAGTTTACGGGTCAAAGTTGTTAATGTCATCTGGCCGTCATCCAGAGACCAACGGTCATACAGAACAGATGAACAAGATCCTACAGCACCAATATCCTAGTCCCTTTAAACACCAGTTAAAAAAAAAGCTAAAACAACCACACATAGTTACATAAAAAAGAATCCACCGTAGTCAACATTAACATTTATCCAATCTGGAAGAATCCAGATCATCATATGGTACATCCAATGAACATAAGATCAAAATAAATCAAGAGGCAGCGCCCAGCCATTCATTCATTCCTGCGTGAGCCATGCGGAAGCGCTGCCACASCGACTTGTGCAAGGAGGTCTGCAGAGATCCCAGAGCTGAAGTGGGCAAGAAAGAAGGAGCGTAGCATAGCGATAGGGTAGAGGCAGCCATAGCTGCCATAGCTGTAGTTTAGTGTGAAGTGTGTGTGTGTATGTGTGAGTGTTCAGAGTGATGCGTGTGGGATATCCAGGGTGATCCGGTGTGTGTGAACAGTGAGTTGTTTGGGCGCCAAGTCGCCATAGCCAGTTGAAAGTGAACTCGTATCT